CTAACATTGATGTTCTCTGTAGTAAGTAATATTTTAATTCATATATACTTATAAACCTTTTTCTATCGAAATTGTCAAAATTTTTATTACTTTCTTATTTTTTCTTTTCGTGGTCCAATAAGAATTGTTTACAAAAGTGATTCGTCGTAACACAGCGCATTTTAAAACCATACAAAGCGATTTTTCCATAATAAATTCAATTTATTTCCTTTTCCATTATTTACATTTAATTTCAATTTCAAACTAACTTTGATGTTCTCTGTAGTAAGTAATATTTTAATTCATATATACTTATAAACCTTTTTCTATCGAAATTGTCAAAATTTTTATTATTTTCTTATTTTTTCTTTTCGTGGTCCAATAAGAATTGTTTACAAAAGTGATTCGTCGTAACACAGCGCATTTTAAAACCACACAAAGCAATTTTTCCATAATAAATTCAATTTATTTCCTTTTCCATTATTNCTGTAGTAAGTAATATTTTAATTCATATATACTTATAAACCTTTTTCTATCAAAATTGTCAAAATTTTTATTACTTTCTTATTTTTTCTTTTCGTGGTCCAATAAGAATTGTTTACAAAAGTGATTCGTCAAAACACAGCGCATTTTAAAACCATACAAGGCGATTTTTCCATAATAAATTCAATTTATTTCCTTTTCCATTATTTACATTTAATTTCAATTTCAAACTAACATTGATGTTCTCTGTAGTAAGTGATATTTTATATCAGTTTGGATACTTATTGGAATATTCCAGCTTTGATTCTGTATTTTCTAGCATTTAAACATTATCATGGTTTATGCCAGATGTGATGTGTTTTATTTGGTGCAAGATGGTTTAGTTTTCTGATGTGCAGCGCCTTCTTTGAATAATGCTATGTCAACATTGAATGGATGGGCAGGATTCTATTTCTGAGTGAGAGTGTTCGTGGTTCTTCGTGGATGCTAAATTTAGTCCCGGGGATCGGGGGATAGGTAGATGCGGGTTTAGTGGAGTCGGTGCGCGATGGGAAATACGTCCGGCAAGCCCCATCCGAGGCCAAGAAGCAAAAAACATCCTCTCCAATACAAAGGGACTGGTACGTATGCAACTAGAGACCCCACGCACCAAGAAGACCACCAAATCAAACCCATCCAAATCATCCAACACAGTTGCATGATCCGAAGCTCATCTCCACCATCGTTCCATCTCTCTCATCCTCTCTATCTAATCTGTCTGCCTGTCTTTCACGTAACTAGTGCGTTATTTCTGTATATATCCCAGAGTGTGTGTCCTCTCTATAAGCGTGTGTATTTTTAAGAGCCCAATTTTGTGTGAAAAAATTACAGATCGACCAGCGCCGCCCGGTAAACCTTACTTAGCCTCGGAGCTCGAGCAGACTCCCGACGTTCTCACAATAAAATGGGATGCACCATTGAGGAACGGCGGTGCTCCGATCTCCGGGTACCTGGTGGAGCACCGAAGGACCGGTTCGCCGCACTGGGTCAGAGCCACACCTCTGATGGTGCAGATCCCGGAGCTCACGATGAGCGGATTAGAGCCGGGATGGAGGTACCAGTTCAGGGTCTTCGCTGAGAACATCGTCGGTCTCTCCGATCCCAGCGAACTCTCAGAACCCTTGACCGTAACACTTCAAAGATCTGCAATAACCGCGCCGAGGTTCACGCAAGAACTGAAGGATACAACAGCCCTCGAAAACGAAAAGGTCGAATTCGTTGCCCACTTCATTGGTCAACCTGCGCCCAAGATGTGCTGGTTCAAGGACGGTTTCGAGATCTTCAGCAGTCGTCGCACGAGGATTTTAACCGAAAACGATAGAAGTATTTTGACCATCCACCAAAGCGCAATATGCGACGAAGGCGAAATCAAATGTACAGCCACGAACAAAGCCGGACACGTTTCCACCAAATGCAGACTCACTTTGGAAGCTCCACCAAGTATACGGTTGCCTAGGCAATACGAAGATGGTTTGCTCTTCGAAATAGGCGAATTGATTAGGTTGAAGGTCTCGGTGGTCGGACTTCCTCCTCCTCTGGTATTTTGGACGCACAACGGCGAATCCATCCAAGAAAACGAACGATACGAAATCGACAATAGCGACAGAATATCCACCCTAAGAATCTCCGAAGCGTTGAGGAGTGATCGCGGCGAATACCAAATCAAAGCGGTCAATAAACTAGGCACCGATATAACATCTTTCTTAGTGACTGTAACTGATAAACCCTCACCTCCTGGAAAAGCAAAAGTCGTAATGGCTTTAGGAAAATCGGTGACTTTATCATGGAACAGTCCAAACGACGATGGTGGTTGCAAAATCGGAAACTACATCATAGAATATTATAGATTGGGATGGAACGTTTGGCTGAAAGCCGCTACCAGTCGCCAATTAACCACAATGCTAGGTGATTTAATTGAAGGCAGCGAGTATAAATTCAGGGTGAAAGCGGAGAGCCCTTTCGGCGTGAGCGAACCCAGCGAAGAATCGGATGCCATATTCATACCGGATCCAAAGAGAGGTCTACTAGAATCCACAGGAGCAAGAAGCAAAAGCCAACCCAGAGAAATCGTGAATCAACAAGCTCCAATAGCAGCGAAACGCAAGAAACCACGCTCTCATTCCTCGTCCAGATCCGAAGAGGAGTCACGCGAATCTCCTATACCTCCAGCACGAATCAGAAGTCCACCAAAAACTCCGGATCAACTGTCACCTAAACCGCAACGAAAAGAAACCATCAATCCAGAGTTATTCGATAGAGCTTCCATAGGTAGAGATCTGATCTATGGTAGTCCTGAAATTAGGATGAAAAAAGTGGAACCTCCCAAAGTTGAAATAGACAAATCAGGTAGAGATTTAATTTACGGTAGTCCAGAGGTTAAGATGAAAAAAACGGAACCTCCTAAAATTGAAATAGAAAAAGTCGTTGCGAAAGAAAAAAGTAAATCACCCGAAATCAAGAGCAGAACACCTAGTCCAATTATAAGCAGATCTCCGAGTCCCAAAATATTAAAAGAGTATGCGTTGAAGTCCGATATGAAATCTCCTAAATTATCAAGAGAAAATAGCGAAAATTTAGGCGGCAGCACCGAATTCATGATGGTGCTTTATCCAGGTAATAAATTCACTTGAAATTTTAAACGATTTAATTAATATTTTTTGTTTATTTTAGATACGGAAAATGATTTTGATTTTGAGAATATTTCTGTGGCGCCACCACTATCTCTGTCTGCTCCTGAATTGGGAACGGAACCGCCGCAAATCGACATCTTAAGACCGTTTGCGAGTTCGACTGAGCTGCTTCACGAAAGAGCTATGATCAGGTTTTACCAAGAAGCTTTGGCGGAAGAGGAAGCACTGAAGCGTAAGCAAGATGAGAGACGCGGAAGTATAATACCAAAGATACAAATTAACAATAAGGATAATCAGGATATTGTTGGGTTGGAAAGGAAACATTCTTTGCGCAGAAGATTATCAGCTGGAGGATCTATACCGCAGCAAGTACTTTGGGCTCAGAGAAGGCAGAGTTTAAGGAATTCAGGAGATTTCTCTGATCTGTTCGAGACGAAGCTGAATAAAATGCCTTTAACAGTTGAAGAGAAACGCCAGTTGATGCATACGCGTCAGCGTTCTCAATCCGAAGAAATGGAAGAAGAGGAATTCGAAAAGGTGCGACAGCGGATGGCCCAAAATAATGAACCAAAACGCAGGAAAAGAATCAGCGTAGTCGAGGAGGAGTTTTGGGATGAGTATGAATCCTCCGAGGACGAGCGATTGAGGTACGAACCTAAAATAAGAGAGATTAACGTGGAGGAAGAGGACGAAACGTACCATCCTCCGAGGATGATGGTGATGGAGCACAAAAAGTACGAAGAACCATTCGAGATTCTGACCAAACCGGCGAAATTGCCGGATGCGAATTTCGTGCCGAAACCGATTTTGAAAAAGAACGGAGTTGAATCCAGGAAGAATTCATTGGTGGAGGCTCTGAATAAGGAAGAGGAAACATCTAGGAGCGCAGAGGCCGTGGCGAGCGTCGCCGGAGTGGCAGCTGCAAGTGTTTTAATACCTCATACAATTTTACAGAATCGCGAAGCCGAAGAAGCCAAAGTCGTTATAGATCATTACGGAGATATCGTTAAAAGTTACAGCACGAAGAGGAAGTCAAGTATCCCGGAAAGCAATCCGGTTCGGGAAGCTTTACGTAAAGCGGCAGCCGCGCAAGCCGATATCCATAAAAGCGATGAAGAAGTGGAAGATGCTAAAAAGGTAAATAACAATAACGTGAAGATTAACAGTTTCGACGAAAGATTGCGGAATTTGGAGAGGAAATTGGAGACGCAACCGAGGAGCGCTACGCCAATGTTCAAGAAAACCGAAGGGACTCAAGTCGAGATGAGAGGTCGAGAGGAAGATGTCGCGGAGAGGAACAAAGAGCAGGTTGCTGTTCGTGGAAGGGAGCAATCCAGGTTCACAAAAAGAGACGTTTCAAAATCGAAATCGCCTCGTAAAGCGCGAAGATCTTCGCCGTCTCCGACGCCCGGTAAAAGGAAGACTTCAAGGCCACCGTCCAGATCAAGTTCAAAGACGAATGCAAGGAGCAGTTCGCTGCTCAGGAAGCCAAAGATGTGCGAAATCATGACGCAAACGTCAACTTCGATAGAGCCTGCAGATTTCCACGAGAAACCACTGATACGCGAGGACGAATTGAGGACCACGGCTAGGATTAAAATTAGAACGACAATGGATTACACGACGGATTTGGCGATGTTCGCCGTCGCCACGTGGGTCTTCTTTTTCAGCAACGAACTCTACGCAATACCAATCCTTTTGGTAGCCGGTTACCGGCAGCTGAAAGACGAGGCGGAGAGATGGATTCCGAATTGGATCAAGAAACGATGGAACAACAGGCGGCACAAGAAATAATATTTTTTTATGTAAACGTTGTTAATGTTTTGCGTTTATTAGTGTTTTTAATATTTTTTTTTCAAACTAAGATTTTTCTCTTTGTGTCTTTGTTGCGAAAATCCCAATCAGTGCGGGAGACCAAAATATTTTTGTTATTCTTTACAAATTTTTTTTTTGTTCTGTTCTTTGTTGTTATCTCTTCGACAACGCGTTGTATATATATACTATTGATGATTAATAATAAATGGATTCCGAATCGGTGTGGACGTTGTTTATGCATGTTTCATAGCACCATGAATCAGGAACGATGATGATTGTTTATCAGCAGTTGCGATGCGTTCGTTTTTCGGAGAAGGAGGAATCGAATCTGGTGGTAATTAGTTTATTGGAGGAAAGGGGAATGAAAGAATGTGCGAGGCGACGACCATCCGCAAAACAAACGCGTCTCTAATATATTCAGAAATTACGTCAAGTCGATTTATTTTTAACGTTTTCCTCTGAAACACACACACACACATACGGATCAGATCCTTGCAGTTTTTACGTGTGTGCTCCGGTGAACATCGAATTATCCTTCTATTAAAAACACTGTTTAGTTTCTGGTGAATCGTGCGGTTTTTTGTTATAAAGATGCAGAGAAACGCGAGGATGGTCTCCAGGATTCGCAAGATCTACAAGAGCGATACGTACGATGTAAGATTACAAAATTCAATCTTTAATTATTAGAACTATTAAGGTATTAACTTAATTAATTTTACCCAATCAGAATTTAATGTTTATTAACATCTGTATTGAATCGAGTTTATCTACTCCGAAATGGCTGAGAGTGTAAACTCGATAATTTAAATATATCCGATCATTGTTTATAATTCTAAGATATACAAATATTTGAAATACTTTTACTAACGACCTCGTGCGTTACTTTCAGATACTTTCTCATTTTGAAGATTACTTGCAGATGGCGCTACATAGGAAATAATTTAAATTAAATTTCCAAATGATTTAAATTCCACAATTATAAAAGTAGGCACTTTTTAAAACTATGTAAATTATTAATAAATAAGAAATTATTAAAAAATTACTTAAAATTTACAAGAATAACAAAATTACTAAATATAATATTTCTGGAATAAATATTGTATGCAACTTAATATACTTAAATCTACCATTTAAGTTCAAATTAAATGTATACATAATATATTTTTTCACGTAGATGTTAGGAAACTTTTAAAAAATCTTATTGATTCTTTTGAAACCAATTTGGTACAAAATAAATTCTTCAATTTTGAAAATTTTAAATATTTTTCAATCAGGCAAATGATGATAAAATATTGCTATTATTATATCAACAATGCACAAGCTAAGTGGAGGTTTAATAAAAGAAGAAGATCAATAGATGCAGTAGATTTTTCTAAACCATTCAACAAAAGTCCTCATTTTATAGCATTTGATTATAAATAATTCAAAATAATAAGTTTTCATAATAGATGAAATTGTTTCTATTTTAATTAGAAAATATTATTGACAATTTAATTTAATAAATATTTATCTGGAATTGAAATTACTAGCTTTTTTCTCAACATGTGATTGTGTATTCATTATTATTTTATGAAATAAAGCCTTGATCCGTTTTACATATCTTCTATGTTTCTGCATTTAGAATGGGTATAAATGAAAGGAAGTGAGCGCTGAAAAGAAAAAAACAAGTAAACACAATGATTTCCGTTTTGAATAATCGCGGCAGAAACGTTTCCACATATGATGATATGAATCCGAATGGTTTATCGCAATGAATCACGAGAAGAATGGCCATAATTGTGCTGCGATTTAGAATCGTGTGAATCTGCGTACATGCTTTTCATTTATATATATATTTATTATTTTGAGTTAGGAACAAAGGGGAAAGTATTCACAGCGCGAAAATCTTAACCAGGAAAAAAAAAACGAGTCAAACTTGTTGGACAAACGGGCACTTTCCATTTCGGTTTTCCCACACAACATATGGGTATGGGTGTTGTTTGTTTATTGTTGTTGTTACGGCAACAGTAAAGGAAACGGACCGGCAAAGGGAAAACAAAACAACAACAAAAAATCGTTAATCGTGTCCAATGATCCGTGCCGTAGGCTAATTAACCTAGTGTTCCAGTTTTCTGGTAAACGGTGGGGGGATGATATAATCGTGTACGAGAAGTTAACATGAAGGAATGCGTATTGTCTTCGTAATATTAATAATGATAATGGTGTTGTTCCGGTGGGATGAGATGCGCTATTGGATGGATGAGGTGGATGTGCCGTTAGGTAAAAGCTTCGCTTCGGACGAAGAGGGATAAAAAATGATGTCAAAATAAAACGGAAAACGGGGAAGAAAAATCGACGTCGTCGCTCGGTGCAGGAGGGAGGCATTGTCGCGAGCGTCTCTCTTCTTATTGAACGTGGGAAAACGTCTGATCCGAAACCCATAAGCCGCGAACTCCATTTACGAACTCTCCATTAATTATGACATTTATTTTCCGCGAGAACTGGGTCAAGTTTACTTTTGAACCGAGTTCCTTAAGCGAAACCACCGACGCCACCCATAATCTAATCCGCATCGATCCGCATGCAATGTCGACCTGCTCGATAGAACGATGGGAATCACCTTTACACTCTCATCAGAATTACTCGAATACACACTTTGATACCTCAAACTACCACTACTTCATATGCAAAGCAAAACATATTTAATTTCATACAATTTAAATTTGAAGAAAACAAACTTACAGTTTGTCTATTCTTATTCAACGTTAAATAACTTTAACAGTAGTAACTAAACAGGAAATTATTAAGTTTTTTTTTTTATAAACATTAAGAATTGGTTATTACTTTATTGGTTATTATTTATGTGAGAATCAATTTGGTTTGATATATCATATTAATTTTCAATTTAGTTTTTTTTATAGACATTAAGAATTTTAAATGAATTTAGTTAGACAAAATCATTATTTGGATAAAATCATTGAAAAAATCAATCTTTTACTAAATTTATTTATCGGTTCATTATTTATGTTATTGCTGTTATTTATGTGAGAATCAATTTGGTTTGATATATCATATTAATTTTCAATTTAGTTTTTTTTTATAAACATTAAGAATTGGTTATTACTGCTGAAATATTTGAATAAATGAATTTACTTAGACAAAATCATTATTTGGATAAAATCAGTGAAAAAAATCAATCTTTTACTAAATTTATTTATCGGTTCATTATTTATATTATTGCTGTTATTTATGTGAGAATCAATTTGGTTTGATATATCATATTAATTTTCAATTTAGATTTTTTTTTATAAACATTAAGAATTGGTTATTACTGCTGAAATATTTGGATAAATGAATTTAGTTAGACAAAATCATTATTTGGATAAAATCATTGAAAAATCAATCTTTTACTAATTTTATTTATCGGTTCATTATTTATGTTATTGCTGTTATTTATGTGAGAATCACTTTGGTTTGATATATCATATTAATTTTCAATTTAAATTGTTCGAGAGAAAGCCGCGTTCTAAATATTTCTCGAAGGAATCAGAGTGCATAAACGGTGCAATACCGAAAGACCCTAATCCATTTCCTTTGTGCGTGCGTATTCCTGGCCTGCGTTACGTAACGATGCATGCATTCATTGTATGCATCTGCATTGCGATGACGTCGGGCGTCTCGGAATGAAGAAACGACGACCTCTCTTCCTCCACCTCACCGACCGCTCAATTCGCGGAACGATTGCGTGTCTTTCGACGACGAAACCGGGCAGCATTTTATTCAAATGCTTCGAAATGCAGATCGGGATTCTACTGCTGCTGCTGTAGCGGCAGAGGATCCGGTCGGGATGATGAAGAAGAGAGGACAGAGTGTGGTGTCCGAGGTCATAGAGGTCGAGTGTCCACAAGAGTACTGTTACTGCTACGATGATGATGATGATGAAGTCTGTGCAGGATTTCTGCACGTGGGGCCCAACCTTCGGGATTATTCCGACGACGGACGGGAAACGCTCAATTACTAAGTTTTAATTGCATTGTTCTTTTCGCCCAATTTGAAGTAACAAACATCGCACAAACATCAGTCACGCCTCCGAAGCCACCAGACGTGATTCATTTAGGATGTTTTATTCATCGCCTAGGCCACGCATTCAAATGCTTGTCACTAATGACTAAACTTGACCCACATCCAGCAAACGCTACACCGGTATTACACACAAAAAGAGATCATCATCATCTGCAAAATAATTGAACCAATAAACTATTTACAATCTTTCGATTCGAATCAACGGACGTTTTCCTAAAATAATGACGAGAGGAAGAGGCGTCATTTAACAGTTATGCATTTGTTCTGCGATTCAATTAGAAACTGTTATCGAGTGTTCTGTTGAAAGAAGAGGCATTCTTCACCGATCTCATCCCGAACGCTGCAGATGGTTTCAATTAAGGTCCACCACTATTACTATTTCTAAAAAAAACACAAACTTCTAAATCTCGCTTTCGTACGATCCACCTAATTAAATCGAATTCCCACAACCATTACAAATGTTCATTCCAACTCGAGCTTTCCGATCCACGTGCTTCCACCAATTATGCAGATTCCTTATTTGCTCCCGTTAACATATCAATTAGCCAACAAGTTCACCTTCACTTTTATCCAATTAACGCAACTTTGAGTTTCAAGTAAAACTGTTTAACTACGTTTAATTATTATTTTTTTTACATATATACTTTTCTATATATTTATATGATTTTTACCTTGTTTATTTACTATTATTTCACTTGCTTTTTATTTATGGGCTAATTGTGCATGCCCGGGGGAATTGTGTGTACTTTATATTTATTTTATTTTTTTCGGGACCGAAGGAAGAACAGTTGATCTTTTGTTTTTTACTTGGAAAAACTGATTCGGTTCCCTTTGGCCAAATGTACTCATTGTTTTATTTTATTTTCTTTGTATCTGTTCTTTTGGTCAATAAACTTGATAATTATTATATTAATGATCAATTTCTTATATTTGTATTTATTCTGATAAATCAATAAATTAAAATTCTAAACCGCATTAATATAACATAACTGCAATTATTGTTTTATTATTTAAGTAAATATTCATACATTTATTTGAATGCAACCTTATTTTATAAGTTAATGAATGATCTTAGTATGATCAAATCTATTAATCATTTTGCTACATTTGTATTGAGTTTATTATAATAAACGAACAGGATGACGTTCACTTTAAATCAA